CGCTGGCACCGGGTGTCCCATGGGGGACTGAGCCCCCGGAGCTGCTGCCACCGGAGCTCACGGGCCCCCGTCCCCTTCCCGCGCACGAAGCAGGTGGGGAGAAGCCTCCTCGGGCCGCCCCGCCGCCTCCCCCGGCTTATCGCGTTTGGCCATGTCTGAATAAGCCCTGGTTTCCTTTTCACCAAAAAAGATCAAAACTGGGTAATTGGCTCCCAGAGCGGATGCCTCTGAGGCTCCCTCATGTGTAAACAGCATTTCCCAGTGACAACGCAGGCGGCCGGGCGCGGAGGCGCGCGCGGCCCCGGCACCTCCCGGCGCCCCGGCACGGCCGCGCTGGAGCCGCGAGGCCCACGCACCAGGCGAGGCACAAAGTAAGGGCAAAATCGCTGGGGTGCAGCCAGGAGCCCCCCAGAAGTGCCCGGGGAGGGACCTGGGGTGCTGTGTTAGTGGGTCCCTTTGGTTCAGCAAGGCCTGGTGGCCACGCGCCCATGCTGAGAGCACTGGGCCGCTCTGCCAGCGCCCCGGTGACCAAGGGACATGGCAAGAGCATGGCAAAGGCGCCAGAATGCCACTGTGGTCATCAGCGTCCCCCACAGACATGAACGGGCACCTTGGCTGAGCTCCCGCTGGGGCAGGGGGTAAAAGGAGGGGGTTGCAATAAGGTCGACCTTGCTTGGGGGAGGTTCATGCAAGAGCAGGTCCTGGACTGAGGAAAGGACACGGAAACCTCCCTCCATGCTGCAGAGCAGGACGGTCTTCCAAGGCCTGGAGATGGGCGACGTGCTCTGCTGCAGGGTCATTGAGCCAGGAAAGGCACCAGGGAGCAGGATGCGGAGTCAGCCAGGCCTAGGGGAGTCCCCGGAGAGCAGCCGGCAGCTCCCGGGATGCGCGGTGGGGAGCAGGAATCTCCCCGGGAGACACAGCTCCTTCCTGCAGCAGCGGAGGCAGCCAGGCCTGGGGGAGTCCCCGGAGAGCAGCCAGCAGCTCCCGGGATGCGCGATGGGGAGCAGGAATCTCCCCGGGACACACAGCTCCTTCCTGCAGCGGCCAGCCCAGTCCTGGCCGAGAACGAGCTAGGAGGCAGGAAAGGGAGCTCCGGCACAGCAGGGAATAACCCGCATTCCCTGGGCACGGCGGGGAGCTGGGGCAGCCCCTGCAGCGCAGGGGGCCGCGTTCGGGCACTCGCTGCAGGGCTGGGACGGCCGAATCCCTGGATGGGCCCGTGGGAAGGGGCCGGGGCGGCAGGGCCGGCATCGGGCATGGGAGGGACAGGGGTGCAGGGATGGGCGGATCGGGCATGGGAGGGACAGGGGTGCAGGGATGGGCGGATGGAGACGGGATGGGTGTGCAGGGATGGGGATGAGCGGATGGAGATGGGATGGGGATGCAGGGATGGGCAGATGGAGATGGGATGGCGGTGCAGGGACAGCAGGACGCGTTGGGTGGCGGACAGCACCATCGTGTGGCCCCTTGTCCGCACAGGCCCCGGCTGCAGGGACAAGGACACCGCGGGCTGGGAACCCTGCCAGCCCCCTCCCACGGGCACCGTCCCCACGCCGGGACACGGACGCTGTCCCCCCGCGCACAGTCCCTGGCACTGCAAAGCCCAGCAGTCCCTAACGCTGCCGAGAGCGGGCGCGAGCACCCAGCTCCCCCCGTGCCAATAATGCCAATAACACCCACGTCCTGCGGCCCCGGGGCCTTCTGGAAGTGGAGCCGGTGCCACTGGGCCCTGAGGGGGCTGCATGGGGATAGGAGAAGGTGACAGGTGGGGACAAGGACACCACAGGAGCTGGCAGCAGTCACTGCCTCTGCTTTGCTGTCGGCAGAAGGGCTCGAGCCATCCGTGCTCCTGAGGACAGCGGAGCTGGTGCCAGGCCCATGGGGACCTGCAGGAAAGGGCCGGGCTACACGCGCACCACCATGGGTGACACAGGACACAGCGTCCCCAGAGACCTCCCGCTCCTCCACGCTGGGAGCTGGGAGCTACGCGGGCATCAGCAGCAGCACCAGAGCCCCCAGACCCCATCCCTCGGGCCAGGGTTCCACCCAGAGACCCCTCTCCCAGCTGAGGGATGGACCAGGCGCCCGGCCAGCGCTGGGACCAGCACCCGAGGAGCAGGAGGAGGAGGAGGGGATGGAGGCCGAGTCGCAGACCGCGCTGTCCCCATCCCTGCCAGCCCGGAGCTCCCTGGCACCTCGGGGACGCTCCGGACACACCTCCGGCGCAGCGGAGCCGCGGGCGGGCGCTTTCCCTTTTTAGTTTCCTGGCTCAGCCCGTGCCGGCCGCACGGCAGCGCCGGCGACCGCTGCTCTGCGATGGAGCGGGCTCCAAACCTGGTAGGTGACGGCTCCCCCCTTGCTCGGTTTGCTCCCTCGTCCTGGTTATTTGCACCCCTGTCGAGCGGGGGGTTGGTTTGCTTTGGAGCCACGCGCTGCAGGAACGATTGCTCCCGAGTCTTTCGCAGCCGGGACAAAACAGCCTCGCGGAGCAAAGCGGAGACAGGGAGATGGGAGATTCCAGCACGGGAGGGAAAAATCCGCCCGTGCCTTCCAGACCTCCGTCACCCCGGCAGGAGCGGCACGCGGGGCTGCCTCCGGCCAGCTGCAGCGACACGAATAGCAGGGAGCAGAGCTACAGAAAGCAACTTTGTTCGCTGCTGGGCAGCCTGCCGGGTGCCAGCGCACGGCAGCTCGGCCCTGCGAGGCCGGAGGGAGAAGGGAAGGAAAAAGCATCTTTCTTTCTCTCTCTCCGTCCTTGGAGCACAGAGGGAGGGAGGAGAGGAGGCTTTGGATAAAGGTCCCATTCTTGACGGTCTCATCTCTAAAGCGCCGTCCAAGCCAGCGGCTCCCCAGGTAGAGCCGGGGCTGAATGGGTACCTATCCCTTGCAGCCACCTCCGGGCTGGGACCTGGAAAGGAACCAGCGGCAAAGCCCGTGGGTGAGCAAGGGAGGGCACTTCGGGCTATTAAAATAGGAAGCAGACGCCTCTGCCAGGGGCTCTGCCAGCCCCGCACAGGATGGGGCTCGGGGCAGTGCTGTGCCCACCAGTGCTCCAAGCCCAGCCCCGAGGTGCTCCTGTGGGTCCCTGCCCCTCTGGGAATCTGCATTTGCTGCCCGAAGCCATCGTGGTCCTGCCATGACCCTTCGGGCCATTTGAGGGGGGAAGAGGTGTCCTTCCCAAAAGGGGGCCCCTCAGCACTCACGGTCCATCCTCCTTCCTCTTCAGCTTCTCTTCTGCATCTTCACCTTCGCCATGGTGCTGGTCCCAGAAGCGAAGGACCAAAGCAAGGGAGCGAGGGGAAGGAGAAGGGGGCCGGGACGGTCCCTCGCGGCCGCCCCTGCCCTGGCCTGGGCCCCCGATGACACCTACACGGCCATGGAGGACTACGAGCAGAGCATCCAGGACATGGTGCGCCAGCTCAAGAACAGCTCCGAGCCGGGCGACACCAAGTGCCAGGTCAACCTGAGGCTCTGGAGGTCCAACCGGAGGAGCTTGTCCCCCTGGGCCTACAGGTGAGCGTGGGGCAGGGCCGAGCGGTGCTGGCAGGGCCCTGCACTGGCCACAAGGCCAGCGTCATGAGGCCAAGCTGTGATCGCTGTGATCCAGTGCAAGGCAGTGCCCAATTCCACCCCACGGAGGGACCGTCCTGCTTGTCCCGCTGCCCGATCCTCACCCGCTGCACCTCCAGCCTCACGTTGCTTTTCCTCTTCTCCAGCATAAACCACGACGCCACGCGGATCCCAGCAGACATCCCCGAGGCCCGATGCCTCTGCACCGGCTGCATCAACCCCTTCACGATGCAGGAGGACCGCACCATGGCCAGCATTCCCATCTACAGCCGGCTGCCCGTGCGCCGGCTGCTGTGCCAGGCGCCGGGCGAGGCGGCACACAAGCCCTCCGCGAAGAAGAAGTGTCAGAAGAAGTATCAGACAGTCATGGAGACCATTGCCGTGGGCTGCACCTGCATCTTCTGAGGTTGCAGAGCTTGCAGCCCTCGGCCCTCACAGCCTGCAGGCACCCGCGGGCTACTAGCCAGCTTGCTCGTGATTGCCAAGTCTGCCCGGGGCAAGGAGGGCGTCTCAGCAAGGAGATTGCAGCTACCTCGGCCCACGAGCGCCCCGAAACTCCCCTGCCGACCCCGCCAGCCTCCTTGGGGACGCCCAGCACCGGGGCAGCCCCTCCAAGCAGCCCAGCTCCGCGGAGCCGCGTCCGGCCTCGCAGCGAGACGGAGCCCCGAGCCCTGCAGCCTCCAGCGAGGAGCAGAGGGGACAGGAGCCGGTCTCCTTCCTCTCCAAAGTGCCCACGTGCTCTACTGCTGCAACAGGACCCGAAGCGTCCAGGGCCCCGCTCTCCCCAGCCCTCCTTGGCCACGTACAAACTCCTCCGTGCTGAACCAGAGAGCGGAATACAGGGAGAACATCACAGCCTGCACCCAGCGCTACCTGTGGCACACCAGGGTGGTGCAGAAGGTGCTGGAGACAGGTCCCCTCTCAGCAGGGCAGCACCGGGGCCTCGCACCGGGCGGGCTCCACGGCTTCCAGCCGTCCTGGGAAGGGCAGGAGCAAAACCCCATCCCAGCGCCTGGCAGGAGGACGCGGCCGGGGAGAGCAGGGGGTGGCTGATGCCCTTGGGAGGCTGGGGCAGCTTTTGAGTTCCTCAATAAAACATATCGCTGGCCCCCGTGTGAGCTGTGCTGGGCCCATCGCAGGCCCCGTGGGGGGCGGCAGGAGGAGGGGGGCTTCAGCCTTCCTCGTGGTGACGATCTGCTGTCCCCAGAAACAGGGCCGGTCCCTTGGTGACAGGGGCCTCTGCTCCTCCCCAGGGCCAGCAGCATCTGCTGCCGTCACCGCCAGGCAGCTCCGTCCTTAAAAGCCTCCTGCACTCCCCAACATAAAGGGGCGATCACAGGATCCAGGGAAAGGCACAGACTCCTTCCAGGCCGGCCAGAGCGGGGGACACGTGTGAAACCAAAGCAGAGGCATCAGACTCGCAGCGACACAGGGCAGGGACTGTATTCCTGGAGGCAAAGCATGTTCAGGTCACCTGGGACACAGCCCTTCCCCTTCCCACCACCCCGTCCCCCAGCCCAGCCCCCCGTGCTGTCCCCAAGGCAATAAATACCCCCAAGGCTACCACACGCAGAAGCTCCTGGCCCACCTTCCCCGCCGGGCATCACAGTTCAGTCTTCACCTTGTGCATCAAGTCCTTCTGGTCGATTTTCTCCAGGTCCTGATACCAGCGGTTATAAGCCAGGAGGGCCACGTTTTTGGCTGCCACGGCCACCATCTCCATGGAGCTGGCCACCCACTCCACGCTGCTGAGGTAGAAGAGGTTGTCGTGGAGCACGATGGGCGGCAGGGTCTTGGCGGCGTCGTAGTGGGGATACGCCTGCCACTCTGTCACCTGCACCGAGTAGTAGGAGCGGAACAGGGTCTTCAGCTGCTGCTTGTCCAGCGGTTGTTGGGAGAGGACTCGCCACACCGCGGCCTCCTGCGGCTGCTTGCGCCGGAAGGCCGAGGAGATGTTGACGGGACAGATGTTGTCCATGGCGTTGAAGAAGAGGTTGGGGGTGTCGGTGGTGAGGATGCTGGCGAAGGGGAAGAGCTTGGGGTCGGGGAAGCCGAAGTAGGACGAGTTGAGGTAGCCGTGCACCACGGAGGTGACGGAGGGCTGGAAGGCCCCGGGGAAGTCAGTGATGGGCGGCTCGAAGTTCTGGAAGGTGAAGTTGCTCTTGCTGGGGTGCAGGGGAGCCGTCAGCACCACCATGTCGTAGAAACCCGAGCCCTGGCCCTCGCCGTCCTCGTAGTGCACCTGGTACAGGGCTCTCCCTTCTGCAAAGGGAAGGTGGGTCCATAAGGAGCAGCCCTGAGCCCCCAGCTATACGGCCTTGGCCTTCCAACCCCCCGGCTTTACTAGCTCAGCCTCCATCTCCTGGTTTCCCAGCACATTCCAGTGTTGAACCACAGCACGTGATGGCCATGGATGAGTTGCTGATGCTTTAGGCAATGGAGGAAGCACGACACCCTGTCTGAGAGCTCTGCTGAGGCTGTGATAGCAGTTTCCCTTGAAAAGCCCCCTCTCTGCCCCACATTCCCACAGCCCCCCACCACCACCTGCCCCTCCAGGCCCAGGTAACACCCTGCACAGGGCTGGCCAGATCACAACCCTCCAGGCCAAGCCTCACCCGAGCTGTGCAGAGAGACGCCCGTCACCCTGGCAGGGATCACGTTGGCTTTGGTCAACTTGAGCAGCCCCGAACACACCAGCTTGTTGCCTCCTTCCACCGCCCACGTGCTGCCTTGGGCTCCCGCCAGCGACATGGCTCCTGGGGAGAGGAAGAAGAAGGTGCCTAAGGCTCCCGGGCACAACATCCTGCCCGGAGAGGGCACCCTGGAAGGCAAAGTTGCATGGGGGGAAGGTGGAGGAGGAGAAGCTTCACCTGCGAAGGCGGGCACCAGCACGGACTGGCCGTAGCTGGAGCGCAGGACGGCCGCGATGACGTCGTCCACGAAGCGCTGCGTGACACCCACCTCCAGCAGGGACTCGGCCACCGAGCGCTGCGTCATGTTGACGAAGGCCTCACCCCCCAGCGAGCGCAGGAGCTCCTCGAGGCTGGAGAAGGCATAGCCGTACGCCTGGTACTTGTAGATCCTGGAGGTGACAGGAGCACAGGACACCTCCGTCTCCTCCGCGCAAAGCCCCAGCGCCAGGGAAGTCCCTGTCCCCTCAGCCCTGCGGCTCTCCTACCTCATGAACTTCTCCATCACCTACTCCAACCCCATCTGCAGGCGCAGGAAGCTGATGCCGTAGTGCCACCAGAGGCGGAAGAGGTTCAGCAAAAAGACAAAGTGCTCCCCGCTGAAGATGGCACTCTTGCCGGCCACCTCGCGCCGGTGCTTGAGGCCTGCGGGGAGGAGGACAAGGAGGAGGATAAGGAGGAGGACAAGGAGGAGGACAAGGAGGCTGCCTCATGCTCCCTCTGCGGCTGAGCACCTGGCTCTGCTCGGCACTGGAGGGATGGACTGACCACTGGGAAAAGCTGGTGCCAAATACCTCGGCGCTGGGGACAGGGGTGGGTTGGTGGGTGAGAGAAAAGATCCCACTCTGACACGGGAGCTCTTTGCTCTTGAGCAAGCTGAGGAGCAGGTGAGGTACAAATGCCTCCAACACCAGGAATGTGCTCAGCGTGAAACCCTGGGGCTCTCCAGGAGCCCTGGACAGTCCCCATCGGCTGAGGTATCACACGGAGTCACCCTACTGTAGGTCAGGAACCTCACCACACACCCGCTCATCCCACTGGGGATGGAGACCTGGGGACCCTCCCCATTCGCACCAGGGACCTGCCAGGCCCCCTTGCTCCCGATACTCTGTTAGGCCACCCCAGCGGTTTCTTAGGCACAGGAGACACAAAACAGAGTCGGGGAGCACAGGCTGACCAAGCAGGGGCAACCTGGAAGCAGTCCTCCCCATCCCCAAAGCCTTTCAGACCGGGGATGCAGGTCGGGGCCGGGCAAGCAGGAGCCGCTCTTCGTGGCCCAGGGTGGCCTGTCCGCGCCGCGCACTCACCCAGCACCTTGACGAAGTCCTGCATGTGCAGGTTGAGGGAGTGGATGGGGGGGCCGCCG